GTAATATTAATGATATCCTGCATTAAAAAAACATTAGAAAAACATTTCCAATAAATTTAGATTTGTTGCCACTGAGTAACCCTCACAAAACCCCAACATCTTTAACAAATAAAAGTGTTCGCATAACTACCACACCTTTCCTTAGACGAACCTCGGCCCCAGACACCGAATTCTTACACTCCAAAGAAACCAGACTGTGACATCTTCTCCATCTCTTTAAAATGATAATAATAATAATAATGATAATAATAATAATAATAATAATATAATATAATATGATAATAATATAATATAATAATAATAATATAATAATAATAATAATAATAAATAATAATGATAATATAATAACAATAATAATAATTTAAAAAATAATAATTAAATAAATAAATAAAAATAAATGAATAAATAAAAAATCTTCCTGAGTACACAAACCACAGAACCGGCTATCAAATCAGGTCAGGTCAGGTCAGCAGAAAGTAAACCTTATTACCAGATGACCTCGTCTGTAGCTCAGCACATCCTCGTAGGGAAAGTTTCGTAGAAGGAACTCTCTGCCGCATCAGCTACTTATTTCAGCCGAAAGCCGAACGAAATACCGGTCTTTGTCCTGGTCGGGAATTCGTAAAAGAGAGGTCACGGGATGCCAGATCCGAGGTCACGCACTCCCCAATCTCGGGAGGGGAGGGGGAGGGGGGAGAGGGGGGGTGTAAGGGTGAGGGGGGGGGGGAGGGGGAGGGGGGGCTATGGGGGATGGGGGGGGAGGGAGAAAGTCCGTAGAGGTTGGTATAACTTATACCAAATTGTACCCATTTAGAGTTTTTGTTTTGGTGGTTTTCAATACTTTTTGGACTTTTTTTTTTTTTTTTTTGGTTTGTTTGTGTCAGATTTTGATTGTTCTTTACGACTTTATTTGTGGTCAGTAATTTTGCTTCTTTAGAGAAACGTGTAAGATGAACCTGAATTTTTACAGATATAATAGTACTGAATTATGTCAATAAATTATCAAAAAATACTCCATATGTTGACGGTTATCACCAATAAGGATACGGTAATTAGTGATAAAACCGATACGATAATCTCGATAACGATAAGACTGACAACGGATAGATAACGAAACGAAACGGAGAAACGATCTCGGAGGGAGTAAAAAAAAAAACGAATTTTAACGAGCGTGTCTTCCTCTCGAGTTCCTTTCGCAGCCCAGGACGTAGAGTACATCGTTAGCTCGAGATAAAAAAAAAAAAAAAAAAGAATTTAAAGAGAATACAACACTCGGCAACCGGATAAACTTGTACGATTCATGTCTTCCGTTCTTACTCCCACTCCTACTCCTACGCCTCTCCTCCCTTCCTCTTATAGGATTCTTGATCCCCTTAATGCCTTTGATCCCGATTCCCCTGCTAGGAATCTTCCCCTATTAGGTACCCCCACTCCACCCCCCCCCTTTTTTAGGAATCTCCCCCTATTAGGCCCCCACTCCACCCCCCCCTTTTAGGAGATCTTTTTTCTCCCCCACCCCTCTTTTTTCCCCCCTCCAAGAGCCTCTCACCGTATAGAAATCTGCTCCACCATTCCGTGTTTGATCCACGTTTCTCTCCCCCACTGGAATATCTGGAGACCCCCCCCCCTCCCTCCTCTTGAACCCCCGACCACCCCTCTTTAAGAATCCCCCCCACCCCTTCCCTTCCTTCCCTCTCTTCCCTCTCCTCTTCCCCTTGACCCGAGGGAGCACAAATGGCCCTCACTGCATTTCCCCCAATCCCTTGTCACGGGAAACGAGTGCTTACGCGATCCGAAAGCCTCCTCCCCACCCCCTCCCCTTCTCCCATCCAATTTTCCTCCTGCCCCCTCCCCTCCCCCTTTCCTCCTTCTCCTGCCCTCCCTCCCTTCCCTCTCCTCCTTTCCTTCCTCCCCCCTCCCCCCTCGCCTTCCCCATCGCTTCTCCCTTCGTCCTCCCCTCCCCCTTCCTCCCTCCTCCCTCTTTCCCCCCCTTCATCCTTCCTTCCTCTCCTCCATCCTTCCTTCCCTCTCCTGCTCCTTCCTCTCTTTCCCCCCTTCCCCTTCCTTCTCTTTCCCCCTCCTTCATCCTTCCTTCCTCTCCTCCATCCTTCCTTCCTTTCCTGCTCCTTCCTCCCTCTTTCTCCCTTCCTCCTCCCTTCCTCCCTTCCTCCCTCCTCCCTCCTTCTTCCCTCCCTGGACCGCAGTGCCAAGTGCCATTCCTCGAGGTTATGCACGGGGCTCAGGCACACCCGGGACACACTTTTACAGCGCCTGGGAGCGATTCCGAAGGCAATTGCAAGTCCGGAGTGACGCGGGCTATAGCTTGACAATTGCAACGGAGTTCCCTCTCGCCCACCTCCGCCTGCAAGCAGTTTCAATCTGGAACACCTTGCAGCTCTCGCTAGCCTTGCAACGCAGCGGAGGAGAAGCAACAAGTGTTTAGTGCCATTTGAATCCGGTCCTGCTATGCATGTTGCAGGAGCGACATTGATTGGTATGCCATTACGTGAATGCCTTTATGAATTACTCGGAGCCGGCTGCCAGATGTGTGTATGTGTGTGTGTGTGTGTGTGTGAGAGAGAGAGAGAGAGAGAGAGAGAGAGAGAGAGAGAGAGAGAGAGAGAGAGAGAGAGAGAGAGAGAGAGAGAGAGAGAGAGAGAGAGAGAGAGACAGACAGAAGAAGACAGAGACAGAGACAGAGACAGAGAGAGAGAGAGACAGAGAGAGAGACAGAGAGAGAGGGGGGGGGGGGCGAGAAAGAGAGAGTGAAAACGAGAGAGAGGGAGGGAGACAGACAGACAGACCCACAGACACACAGACTTACAGAGAGACAGAAGGAAAGAGATAAAAAAGAGAGTGGGGATGAAAGAGACAGATATAGAAAGATAGAGAACAAAAGAAATAAATAGATAACTAAACATATAGATAGACAGAGAGAGAAAGAAATGCAGTTTGCGATCTCGGTGATTGCTAAAGATATTTTCCTCTTCAAATGCAAATATCCCCCCCCCCCCCGATCGCCGGGGCGAGTGAAAGCCATGGGTACAACCTGGAGAAAAATCTTTGGGACATAGAGATGAGAAATCACGCTCTTTTACACACAAAAAAAGACTTGTGGCAATTCTGAATTAGGAATTAGTTATGGAAGATCGCAACGTCTACTTCGGAAGAAAGTGATAAAGAGGAAATAAAGGAAAGATGAAATAAAGGAGATTAATGGAAAATAAGGAAAGACCAGCTGATTGGACACGTGCCTCTAGAAAAGGTCAGCGTCTCGTTGGGAAAAGCAGGACGCAAATCACTTATCGATCGAGATTTTTGCCTTTTCTGAATAACATTTACCATATAAGGAGAGGGGGATCCAGCGCGCTCTCATAATTTTCTTTGCATCAATATCCGAAGTTTTTTTTTTTTTTTTTTTTTTTTTTTTTTTTTTTTTTACCACTAAGAAATGTTTGAACTTCCTGGATGTTATAATTATTGTAACTTCAACAGTAATGGAGTCTCATTAAAGCTTAGCAGACTATCAAGGTACACCAGTTGGTCACAATGGAACGAATGCGGTAAAACAGCAGCAGTTAACACAGAATACTCCGTCTGAATAGCTTGGGTTTATGTGTTTTTAGATGTTTACAAATAGAAGGACCCGCGTAACTGCAGTGCTGATAAGTAATAGTAATCTGATTTAGTTTTTGATTTAGAAAATATCAAAAGTAGTTTTATAAAAAGGTATTCGTACCTCTCTGTACACCTTGAATTCATGCTTACCTGTTTGATTAGAATGACTCATATGATTGTAACGTCAATATTAGTTATATGATCTATATGATTAGTTATATGATCTATATAAGATCTAAAACTTTAAGAATAATTCTAGCTTGTGCATTGTGTTTTTTCCTACCACAATATTAACACTTTACCATGCTTTACCATCCTTCAAGAATATCCTATCAATATTGGCACGTATATTCCAGTCCTTTCCCTCGCCTAAGACACACTCGTCTTGGAGAAAATCCTTCGACGAATCTCGCGGTGTCTGAATCCTGCCATCCTTACGTGACAGTTGACGAGACTTACGAGACGTGACAGTTGACAGTCAATCCGACGACACTACGAGGACTGAGGAGTAAGTCCCTCCTCGCGCCCCCGACTCCTGATCGTAAGAAGGAAGGAAGGAAGGAAGAGGAAATCACACCAGGATCCAGGCTCGGTGTTGTGTCCTGAACCACAACTGGAACCAAATCTGAAACCACGACAGGAACCATAGGAGAAGCACACTAGAAGAGCCACGTCATAAAAACAACAACTTAGAAACCACACCTGATGCTGTGCCTAAAACCACGCCCGAACTATACAAGAAACCACGTCCCCCCCCCCCCCAAAAAAAAAAAAACCTGCCTGGAGAACCACACCAGAAAAAAACACGTCTGAAGTTAACTCAGAACCACGTTACAAATCACGCCTGAAACCACAACCGAAACCCACACCAGAATATACCAAAAACCACGCCTGAAACTACACCAGAAACCAAACCACGCCGGAAACCACAGCCGAAACTAAACGCAGAAACTAAACCAGAAACCACACCAGAAACTAAACCAAGATTACACCAGAAACCACACCAGTTTCCACGCCTGAAACCACACCAGTTTCCAAACGCACACCAAGAACCACAGGAACCACCACCAGAAGAAACCA